CGCAACACCGAGGGTTGCGATCCCGTTGCCGGTCCCAGTCCGGGCGCGACACTGAGGGTTGCGATCCGTTGCCGGTCACAAAAAAAAAAAAAGATAAATAATTGTTTCTGTCATTGGAGTACCCTATCCTAGATAGGCCACTCAATTCATACCTTTACTTCAGGGAGCTCAATAATCTGAATTTTTTCTCTCATTTCTGAGAGAAAAATATACTTGTATGTCAGAAGATTTATTCCTAGTAATTGTGGAAGTACAGTGGGGTAGAGCAGGGGAGCTATACTTAAGAATCTAGACTTGGAAATTATTTTAGAAATTATTATTGGTTTTATAAGAAATTAAAGAGCTTTTGACTAGACCTGTGCATCTAAATTACTGTAAACTACTTTGATAAATTGAATAATTGTTTCACTCTATCCAAAAGAGATTAAACCATAATTTATCCTGTGTTTTAGAATTTAATTTTATGCATTAAGTGGCAATTTAGCAAGGGAAAGACTATTCTATAGATTATTAAGTTTCCTACACTGAATCTGAATATTAACTTGGATTTTTGTCAACCCAGGTTGGATGCTGAATGACAAATACTTGTTTTTAGTGAAATATAGCTGTTTCAAAGGCTTGTTCTTCACTCAGACGATTATGTAAATTGCCTTGGAACAGTTGGACAGTGGTTATGTCAGCTTTAATCATAAACTAAATGACAGGAGAAACAGACAATGCATAGCATATTTGGAGTGCTTTTGTTAGACTTTGAAAACCCAATGGGAAAACGTATAAATAAGCTGTAACAAAAAGCTTCATAAAATTCTAGTCCTAGCTGCATGTTTGTCCCCTTTCAGTTGAGACATTCAAACAATACATGATAATATGAAAAACATCTTAGTAGGTTTGCCAAGTATAAGAATTAATATATTAACTGTTTGGCAACCAGTCTGTTTATTATATTTGCAATCAAAAGATTGTTTTCATTATAACATTTGGTTTTTATTAAAAATAATAAATTTTCAAGTTTTCACCCTTACTTTTGAGTTGTAAGTGCCATCCCCCTAATTAAAATTCCATTTAAAAAATCTTGTTTTAAGTTTGCATGTGTACTACAGGCATGTGCTTGGTGATTAAAAAAAAAGTGTCCTTTGAAAGGTCTGAAAACATTTTACTAAAGTGAAGTGAAAAAAGCAAGGTATAAGACAGTGTGTTATGATATGCTATCCTTTGTGTCAGAATGTGTATGCATGCATGCATAAGCCTGCTTTTAACTTAATAGTTTTTGTAAGGATACATAAGAACCTGTAACAATGATTGTCTCCTGGAGGGATGGCTAGGCTCAAGCGTAGAAAGGAAACCTACTTTTTACCATGTATCCTTCTGTATTTAAGTTTTATTTTATCATGCACATGTATTACCCATTCAAAAATGCTTTTAATTATTGTGAATATCATTCCATATTATTAAATATTAAAAGTGTAAAAACTTTCATTACAATAGCAGTTTGGTTTTTTGGTTTTAACTTATTGGGGAGTTTGTTAATCAACTAGTGATTGTAACTTCATCAAACTGAGCATCCTTATTCTCTAGACTCAGAGAAGAAAGGAAGTTAAACAGCCTATAAAAGGCAAAAACAATATTTTTGGGTTTCTTAGGCAATTCGCATTTTGGTTCAGGAGCGCCTGACACAGGATGCAGTTGCTAAAGCAAACCAAACAAAAGAGGTATGTATGTTTTTATAAATTCTAAATTAATTATTAATGAAAATTTCTTCTTTTAGTGCCATGAGTTTAAACTTTGCATGTATCTGTTTAAGATACCCATTCTATGTTGGAACAGCCCAGAGAAAGGATAGTTGACCTCAGTAGTTCTTAAGCAAATTGAATGTACCCAGTTGCTGGGGATTGTTTTTGAGTGAGAAATGAACTTCCTGTTTATCTCACTTCATACCCTGGAAAAGCTACCAATACCTCATGCACAGTCTAGAAACCACTACATATGCCTAGTTTATTTAGAAGGATTTACCCTCATGAGATTTCTTGGATTATATTGACTCATGCTGGAAAACAAAAGACATACCTTCTCTTTTTTCCTAATTAATTTTCTTCTTTTTCAATCTAAATCTTATTCTTGTTCTTGTGTTTCTTCAAAGTAAATTCTCATTTTGTTCAATTTCCTGGCATAAAACATTATGATAAAGTAACTTGCCTAATGTCACCTGGTTGATAAGAATTTGAGCTTAGGCGGTCTGATTTGAGAGCCTGTGCTCTTAGGGTGGGTGGGGACAGGGGTCCATGTGTGGAGGTCTGCATGAGCTTATTGATCTACTTAGGTAAAGGGGTAGGGGGCTTTATTAGAATATAAGGCTCAGGGTCTAGGTTACTGAAACAGTAACGTCTTTCAGTCCTGCTTTGTAGGCTCCGTATAAAATACTTCTAGGATATTTTTAGATTAACAATATTAGAAATCCAAATATCCCTAAGGTCTCATTGATTACGAAACAGTGCAAAGAATGTCCTCAGGGGTTAGCAGCAGCTGTAGGTGTCTGATAATGCCACCTCCTGCTGCATATATGTTGCAGTGAATGCCTTGGGCACAACCACCATTCTGGACTCTGGTCTCTCTTTTTTTGTGCTCTCACCCTCCAATGTCTTTTGTCCTCTGATCCCTTTAGCCAGGCCCAGCTGTGTTAAAAGGTTACTAATGCCAGGGCGGTGTAGTCCTCTCTTTCTGAAAGACACTTAGTTTTCTTCTAAAGGTTCTTATTGGCTTATTAGTTATGTATGAATTGAGACACTAGAAATGGGATTAAAGATCATTTTATTTCACACCACTGTAGAACAGATAGTAAATTGTTCTGGCATAATCATTCATTCATTCAGCAAAATTATGTCTTTGGTTTGGAAGGGATTGCAAATAAGGGTATAGCCACATCTCTTTGCTCATTTGCAAAGTAAAATTTAGTTTTATTTTCAGTGTTCCAAATTTTAATTTTAATGTCATCTCAAAAGATACCAGCCTACAATAATGTAGTGAAGTTCTTGCCATTTAGTGTTCTTGTTGTTAACTATTCTCAGCTAGTATTTGAGGCATACGTAATTTTCAGGTGTAGCTGTTCCTTGGAGCTCCTGGTACCAGACTGACATAAAGCCACTGAGTACAACTCTACTCTTTAATATCGCTCACTGTACTTACATACCAGTTGGTTTCTTCATTTATATAACATTATCATTAGCTATTAGGCAAGTATTGAGCAGAAACTAAAGCATTTAAATAGTGACAGCTTGTAACATTGAAAGTACAGGCAGTGTTTGCTTGTCCTCATTTTTATCTGATAGTTATTGTGAAGCCTGTACATTTTGGCATCTCATCATAGTCATCGTGATATGTCTACGTGTAGGTGCTTACTGGTTAGCTAAATGGTTTAGTTTTTCTTCATCTTTCTAGACTGTTTCAAAGTAATTTCCAAATGAACTGTTAAAAGTCAATTATACATAGGTAATTTGGTAAAGATCACGTTGGCTGAAAGAAATAGTTGTATACATTTCAGGTAGATTTGCGCAATTGGTAAAGACAAATTAATGTACTCAGAAATAAACTTCCTTGAAAGTAATATTAAAAGTAGTCCTATCCTATTTGCCCTGTACATTGCTGCTTACAGTAAGTAAATCAGGACAGTAGCAGCCCCGCCCAACCCTCCTTCCTTAGCAGTAGTTACAAAACACTGCTGCAATAGGGATTTATTATTTTATGTGCCTGGTCCAAAGAATGAGATGGGCTATAGCATTTCCCAGTACCTTTAAAGGCTATTCTTTCCAAACGTTGTAATAGGAAATAACTTGTTCATCACAAGACATATTTAACCAAAATTCTTAGTCCCTTGGCCATTGCATCTAAAAGAAGCGAAATAACAATACCTGGCTGCTTGTCACAGTTTCAGATGAGAAAAGAATGTTATTCTTAACTATAGTCTCATTTTGTCCATTTTTTTTTTAAAGGGCTTGCCTGTTGCTTTAGACAAACATATTCTTGGTTTTGACACCGGAGGTAAGTGATTTTAATTCAAACTATTTGTAGAGACATGGGGGAAATGAGTGAATAAATGGTCTTAAATACAAAAATTATATATTAATGCAGTGTTCTTTTCTTACAAAACAGATGCAGTTCTTAATGAAGCTGCTCAAATTCTGCGATTGCTGCATATAGAAGAGCTCAGAGAGCTACAGACAAAAATTAATGAAGCCATAGTAGCTGTTCAGGCAATTATTGCTGATCCAAAGACAGACCACAGACTGGGGAAAGTTGGAAGATGAACACACTTTAGGATTTTAGCATCTCACCTACTTAGTACAGTTGGGAACCATGTACACTTCTGGCATGTTTGGAAAGCAAATGTCACATTTTCCAGTGAAGAAAATTGAAAATTTTCCAGAAAACTGACTGTTCTAGAGATTTACCACCATTGCTTTTTTCTTTAATAAAGTTTGGGAAAGTGCAACTTTTTTTTATTGACTGTGTATTACTGCGTTCAAGTGAAAGTATTATCTTTTAATTCTATTTTTCCACGATCTTTTTGAAGTACCTTAGTATTTGTATAATTAGTTTGCTTCCTCCTTTGTGGTTAAGGTACATACATGCCAACCCCCAATTTTGTTATAGAGACAATATAGATCCTTAAGTGGTAAGGAAACTTAAAATGTTTTATTGGAATAATCTAGAAAATTTGAGAACTGTTACATCTTTGGTATTTATAAATGTAGTACCTTCTGTTGGGTACTTCTATAGAGGCACTAACAGGATCAGAAAATACAAATTGAATCATTCTAGCACCTGTTGATATAAATAGAAACACACTGATACAGAGGTAAAAAACAAAAATCTTAGAACTTTTGTTGGTAACTATAAATAAGTTGGTTTTTTCCTATCTTGTTCTGCATAGCCTTCTCTATGTCACTGTGATCGTTAGGATTGTATTTTTATACTGACCATGTTTGCTTTAATTTCTTGGCCAGAAAGAATCCATAGCAAAAATCATATTTAGTGTCTTAAACTCTAGTAGTAACAATTAAAATTCTATTACTTTTTTTAAACTTGCAATAACAACCTCTGTTTTTAAAAATACAGTAGTAAAGACTGAGGTATAAACTTTCCACAAATATACTTAGTCTTTTTGCACTAAAAATGTTCATCTTGTATGTCCAGGAACTTCCAATGGCCAATTCCTTTTTCACTTTCTTTGCCTTTGTTTGCAGTGTTCTTTAGGGCCAGGATTCTGATTGTAAACTCCAAGTCTTCCTTTACATTGTCATATTTACTCTCTTCCTGCAAGAGAAGAATGGGGAAGGGGACAGTTGGTGAGTACTTTGTAACCAAGTTACAACAGCAAATCATTTTCATTTTTTTATAGTAAGCTAGGTGGACTTAAGGTGGTAAAGACTGGCCTCCCCCATACACTGGCCATTAACTTTTCCAGCTTAGGACTGGCCAGTTAGCTCAGTTTTGTTAGACTGTGGTGCTGACAACACCAAGGTCCAGGGTTTAATCCCTGTACCTTCCAGCCACCAAAAAAAAAAACCCAAAAAACAAAAAAACAACTTTCCCAGCTCAAAGTGGCTCTCAGTGGTGGCGGGAAGAGGACAGTGTCTGTGGCAGCAGAGGTAATCTAGGTCATGGGTAATCAGTTACCATATGTATCCCTTCTCTACTACAGGAGCATCCTGAAGCATATTCATTTACCTAGGCAGAAGGGGTAGACTGCAGTTATCCCATAGAGATGAGATCGCTGCTCTGGGAGATACTCATCAGTAAACTGGCTACTGTCTTTATGTAGTGATATAACACCATCCCTGGTAACAGAAAGGAAGAGTGAATTAATCGAGAGTCCGTCACTACATAAAAAGATATGAGGTGTTATGTACAAAAAATCAGTTTAAATAGAGACAAATCTGCCAGCCTTCTAGGACACCTTTTTAAAATCAATTTAATCAAATGAGTTTTGACTCATTTAGATATAGAAGAGTTGTCTAATATTAGTGGTTCTCAAAGTGGTCCCCAAACCAGTATCACCTGAGAACTTGTTAGAAATGCAAATTCTTGGGCACCCCCTCATATATGCCAAACCAAAAATTCTTGGATGGGACCCAGCAATGCATTTTAATAAACTCTTGGCATGTTGCTGATGCCACACTAAAGTTTAGAACCACTACTCTAAACTGATTGTTCTCAATCCTAGTTGTATGTTAGGATCACTTGAGGATCTATTAAAATACTGATGCCAGGGCCTCATGCCAGACCAATTAAATGAAAATTGTTGGGGATGGTGTAGAAGGTCTTAGGTTTTTTTTTTTTTTTTTTTTTTTTTTTGATGTTCCCCAATTTTTCATTTGAGAACCAGTCTGAATTAAAGTAATTTTTAGTCTCCCAGGTAGGCAACTAGTATGTGCTCAGTGTGGTTTAAAACAAAACTTAAACCCTATACCCTCATGATACCACTGGGTAGTCATTTATTCTCTAAAGGACAGGTTTGGATTAATGTGCTTCCTTTTTAGATAGTTCATTACCAAATAGCTTTGCCATTTTTAAGCTACATATGAGCAAATACCAGTATGTTTCTGGGTGAAGTAAAAGCATGATTTTAAAAGCAGTAACACTTAACAGATATTATTTACTCATGAGAGGATAATGAAATGAAAACCTCAGCCTAGGGCTTAATTACTAAAGTTATTTAATTGACTTCTGGTAAAATAAATAGTGTGTCCTCCAGAACAATTTGCCTTTTCAGTCTTGTTCAGAATGTTTGGGCTCACCTCCTCCAGTCTGTGAGGTAGAAATGATCTGCATAGCTGACAATGCCAAAGGGGTAGTTGAGGTGATTATGAATGACATGTCGTCCAGTTCCGTCAGGTAGTACACACTCCAGTTTTTTGGTACCTTTTATAAAAACGTTAAAAGGGGCCAATGAGATCCTTTCATACCATGGAGAGGAGAAAAAAAAACTGCTTTGCCAAAAATGCTGGTGGCAGATTCCTTCTCAAAGGAAACAGGTAGAATAGAAAACAGGATATTTTACATCATGCAAATTAGCAACTGTAAAATTTCCTTTTCTATTACTAGTCTCCAGTTTGTTTAATAGCATTCTAGATTTTAATAGAAATTCAAACTTTTAATCCTTTTTTGGAAGAAAGTGTTACATTTACCGAAATCTGGCTAAGTTTCTCCCAAAGTAGGTCATTAGAGTTAAGCATTTTTATAATTTATATAACTTTAAGTCTCAGCTTATAAATTGTTGTAAGCATCCTTCCCATTTGTAAGCAATGTATGATATCCAAGGCAATCTTTTAACCAAAATCCTTAAATATTTTTTAAAGAATATTTTTCCTAAGTTTAAGAAAAAAGCAAAATGGTGGCATGCATCATATTTTTCAATGTAAAGGAAGGAGTCTTGAAAATTTTGCAATAGCTAAACAATTCAAGAATTTCCAAGTTTTACATTTTTCATACAGCTCTGATTTAAATTTCAAATAATTTTAGAAAATGTAACCCCGTTTTGGACAACTAGGTTATAAAAGTGACCTATCTGTGTTATAGTCCCTTTGTATTAGATTATAAATTCTTCAAGAACAGTCTTTTTCATATTCTTTAGAACAGACCCAGACGTATAGCATCTTTTCAGTTGTGCTAATAATGAAAAGCACATGTCAGAAATACATGAACCTGGATATTAGCAACCAAAACTTATTACTGAAGGAAACCATGCTGCCACATTACTTTTCAAAGAATGTCCTCAGCATAACATACTGACTGTTAAAGTGACATATACTGGCCAAAAAAAGAGAATAACCTCTATTTATTTAGCTCAGTTTGTCAATTTAACAGTGGCTAATAACTTTGTAACTCTTAAAAAGTAGGCCAGGTGCTCATGTTGCGAGTCATGCAAGCAGTACAAACTTACTGCCTAATTCAGCCTTCCTTCACTCCAAACCCCAGAAAGTTCATCCTAAGAATCATTACAAAATATTCTTTAAAAGTATAGACCAAGGGCCAGCCCGTGGCTCACTTGGGAGAGTGTGGTGCTGATAACAGCAAGGCCACGGGTTCGAATCCCTATATAAGGATGGCCGGTTTGCTCACTTTGGAGAGCGTGGTGCTGACAACACCAAGTCAAGGGTTAAGATCCCCTTACCGGTCATCTTTAAAAAATAATAATAAATAAAAGTATAGACCAAAGGAGAAGATTATGTGGTATAATTTGCGTGGTGCTGACAACACCAAGTCAAGGGTTAAGATCCCCTTATCGGTCATCTTTAAAAAATAATAATAAATAAAAGTATAGACCAAAGGAGAAGATTATGTGGTATAATTTTAATTTGTTTAAACCAAAGGATCTAAATGATGAGATTTGGTTTTGGATCTGTCACAGTGCTCACCCCAACAGTAATAAAGGGTTATCTATTTGCATTCCATCAGTATTACCTGCATCTGCCCAGCAGAGCAGTTTGGAGAAGGGGTCAAATGTTAAACCATTGGGTAATCCAATATCTTTATTGACCAGAATTCTTCTGTTTTCTCCATCTAAAGAAGATGTTTCAATTTTAGGAGCTTCTCTATTCCAGTCTGTCCAGTACAAGTTGCTGCAGATAAATTAAAAATCAGGTTTGTAAAAGAATAGCTACACAGTATATGGTAGGCAACATCTAAGATGGCCCCCAGTAAATACCCATCTCCTGCTATTCACAGCTTTAATACCCTGGAGTTCGGGCTGGACTTAGTGTCTTGCTTCTAGTGAGTAGAGTATGGCAGAAGTGATGGGGTATCACACAAAACCGTGGCTTCTGTCTTGGGTTCCCTCTCGCCCTCTCACCCTCTGAGGGACTAGATGCCATGCTGCAAGCTAGAGAGGCCCATGTGCCAAGCAGGTGATGTTTCCAGCCAACAGCCATCAAAATTGCGAGGCCTGCCAACAGCCCACAAGTGTGCTTGGAAGCAGATCTTCCAGCTGAGCCTTCAAATCACTTCAGCTTGGCTGATACCTTGATTGCAGCCTTGTGAGAGACTGTGCCAGAGGGAGTCAGTTAAGCCACACCCAGACTTCTGACTCACAGGAACTGTGCGATAATACATGTTTGTTGTCTTAAGCTGCTACGGTTTGGCCTTGTGAGAGACTGTGCCAGAGGGAGTCAGTTAAGCCACACCCAGACTTCTGACTCACAGAAACTGTGCGATAATACATGTTTGTTGTCTTAAGCTGCTACGGTTTTGGGCAATTTCTTACACAGCAATAGATAACTAGTACACAGCTATATTCCACTTTATCTGAATCACAAGGTTTTCTGACGATTGTAATGGTGTGGGAGAAGTCATTATTGTCTGTGACCCTATCAAAATCCTTGCCTCTGAGACATCCCTGACTCAACTGCCCGGAAACCCTTAATTTTGTTGAAATCTTGGATCTTGGGTGTAGAATCCAAGAAATACAGTTATTAGGAATAGAAACTGTGGAACTTGAGAGACTCGGGCCAGGGATTTGACAGGGAAATAGTTCTTCTTACTTTCTTCTTCCAGAGAAAATACTGTTTGGCACTTGTTGAAGGGGAATCTCATTTGTCCTGTACCTGGCACCCAGGGATGGAAACACTAAGTGAGGCACTTTACCTTTTGAATGCTTTGTTAAAAATGCAAAAATAGTCATTTAACAGATGATACCTAGAAAATAATATGGTCCTGTTAATTGGAAATAGGTTACATGTAAGGCAATAGGTTTATAGTTAGAACAAAAGTAATGGTGAAAGCACTTTTTATAAATACTGTTTTATAAAAGCTATATAGAAGTTTTGAATGAATAAGTTGAGCTACAGAAAACTTCAGTGAGAGGAGAGGGAAGAAGAGATCACAGGTTTCTCCTGTTGTGAACTTCATCCCTTATGCCTAACACATGAAGCAGAGAAAAGCTGAGAGCAAAAGCCAGAAAACAGTTTGTACTTCATGCTAAGGTAGAGGCAGTCAGAGGGTAGAGCACACATATCATGCATATCATCACTTCATCATTTATGACCTGACTCCTTCTCCCAAGTGATTTAAGATCATTGAAAACAGTAAGTCCGGAACAAGCTCACACAGACACGTAACATTTGGTGTAAATTAGTCGCAGATTGCTCAAGGAAGAAAGTTGTAAGGGTAAAATTTATAGAAAGTGAATGAGGAATACCAGGAAGGACTATTCCACTAAGCAGCTGAGGGAGATTTAGTTACATGTGTTATATTCAAATTTGGGTCAAGGTCTTTGTTTTCAACAAAAATTATTTTTAAAGTCCTTTAGCATTTATTTGCTGTCTTAAACTAAGTTTTCCTTTCATCTTAAACTCATGGCTGTAGTCTGGATCTCAGCTTAAAAGCCTTTTCCTCCAGACCATGGAGCATATGACCAAGGTATCATTGCCCACAAGCTGACAGCTTCCCCAGTTTCAGGTCAAGCACCAGGAAGGAATACTGGACTCCCAAATGTCAGAAAGGCAAGCCTATTAAAAGAAGAGGGGTTTTGGGCCAGCCCGGTGGCGCACTGGATAGTGCGCCGCCTGGGCAGCGCGTCGGTGCGCCGTCGCTGCCGCGCTGCTCCGTTGAGCGGGCCGCGGT